AATGTCCAAGTTGCCCATCCCTGTCTACTCTGTGTGTGGAGAGGGTGGGAATGATTCTTGCTGTAAGGATTTATTCCCTCTTTTGAGCTAAGGCCCATTCATTTTTTCTAATTTTGAGTTTTGTTCCACACTTTCTGCCACTCTGTTCAGGACCTTCTAACGTTATCCCGTTTAGAACAACTATGAAGCCATCTTCTTCTGGCTTCATAGTTGTGGTGATTGATGTTCACCTATTCTGTTGATCATTGGACTAGTTAATTTCAAGCATCTTGATAAATTATTTATTTATTTTTAATGTTTTATTGTGAATTATATGGTAGTTTACATGGGGGAACTTTAATTTTACATTCATTCCATCGTATATCATCTCATTGTGATAAATTATTTTTTAATACGATAAAACCTTATGTGTACTGGAATAGTTTTTCGTTTTTTTTCTCTATTTAGTAACAATTTCAAATCTAGACAAAGTTGCAAATACACTGCAAAGAACTTTTGTGAATAAGTATCTGACTATAATGGCTGAGTACTATAGCTTTAATTTCTAGCAAAGGAGGTATTTTCATGCATAGCCACAATGTTGTTATTAAGTGCCATTGAGTCAGTTCTGACTCATAGCTGTATAGGGTATCCAAGGAGCAGCTGGTGAGTTTGAACCATCTACCTTACAATTTTCAGTCCAGTTCCTGTCCTATAGTGCCACACAAGTTCTACAAATGTCCTAGTTGTTTCCTTTAGAGCAAAAGGATCCAGGCCAGCCACTTGTGTTATATTAATTTTAACGTCCCATTAGCCATTTCCTGTCAGGAATGATTCCTCATTTTTTGCATGGCTTTCATGATTTTGACACGTTTTCAACCCGGTTGTTTTGCTGTCCCTCAGTTTGAGTTTGATGATTTTTTTATGATTAGATTCAGGATATGCATCTTTAGCAGACATGTTAGAGAAGTGAAACTGCTCATTGTAGCTTAGCAGGTGAAACACAGTTTTGAAGTGTGTGCTATTGGTGATGTTTTGTAGCCCTGGTGTTGCAGTTGATAAGTTCTGGGCTTGTAACCAAAAGGTTGGCAGTTGGAATCCACCAGCTACTCTGGGAGACAGTTGTAGCAGTGTGCTTCTATAAAGGTGCATACCTTTGGAATCCGTGTGATGTGTTTGTGTTCTGTCCTTTAGGGTCGCTGAGTCAGAATTGACACCACAGCAGTGGCTTTGGTTTTCTCTATTGGTGAGGTTTACTTTGATGACTTCATTAAAATATTTTTCAGAGTTCTCTCCTATAAAGTTATTTTTTTTCCACTATGTTACGTAGTATTTTATACTGTAGAAGAATTCGTGCTTTGAGTTATGTTATTGGAGGAGAATATTGAAAGTGCCATGGCCTGCCAAAAGAACCAATAGATCCATTTTTGAAGAAGTGCAGCCATAGTGCTCCATTACAATTATAAAGGTAAAAGTTTTGTAACAAAAATGGGGCAGTAGTTAATCTTATAGTCCAGAAACAAAGGACCCCAGGACCATCAAGGGAGAAGAGCACAAGAAGAATGTAGGACCTTATCCAGAGAAGCAGTGGCACCAGAGATGGAAGCAGAGATGGGGACATGGAGAGAGGGAGCAGTTGAGGACTCTAGATTCATGGGAAGAGAAGGACTAAGAGATGGCAGCCAGGAGGCAGACTTGCAGAATGTGCCCTTTGTTGGTGTAAATTATTATGTATGCCTGAGTGCTTAAAAAAAAAAAAAAAGAATGCTAAAGTGAATTGAGAGAAATATTGTTAACTGATGGTACATGGAGGGTATTATAATCATTGTAATGAAACAAGATGTATGATTTGTTGAATGTAAAACTGGTGATCTGCCCTGTAAACTTTCACTCAATCCACAGTAAAAACGTTCACACACACACACAAAAGATGTTTTCTCTTTTTGACATGTTCTGCCATTCTTTTATAATTCTTTTAAATGTTCTAGGTTACCCTAGCACTAGAATCTGTCATTTCTCCCAAGAGTCCAGACTGATTTTAGTAGTGGTGGTTGTGTGCCACCCAGTTGGTTCTGATCCCTAGTGACCTTGTATAGGGTTTCTAAGGCTATAAATCTTTATGGGAGCAGAAAGCCTTATTTTTTTCCCTTTGAGTAACTGGCAGATTCAAACTACTGACCTTGTGATTAACAGCCCAGCTCATAATCTACTATGCTACCAGAGCTTCTTGATTGTAGTGGAGGGGAAGGTATTTAGAAACTAAGATCTGGGCACTTGGTGTGATCATTGCTCTTGGAAACCATTGCTTCTAGACCCTCTCAGCAAACACAGTGAAGAAATACATGCATGTATAGACACACACACGTGGTTGCATACCTTATTTGGTTGTGCTTTTGGACTGAATTGTACAGGAAGAGATAAAGGACTTGAAAGAATGGTGTTCTGAGTACTTTTCTCCAGCAGTTTGCTTTCCCTCCCTTCCGCTCTTTCTCCATCCGTTCTCTCTTTTCCTCTTCTCTGCCCCCTTCTCTTCTTTCCATTTGAGAAAGCTGTTTTGATGTAGTAAAACATGTGTCATTCTTGGCTTAGGGATAGTGAGTACTCAGAACCATGATTCTGTTAATGAATCTATTAATGCTGTTGCTTTTCTTGCTTGTGTTGTAAGCCATTGTTAAGTTGGTTCTGACCCATAGTGCCCCTAGGGCTTCCAAGGAGAATCTTGTAAGGCATACCTAGTATTTAATCATGGGAATCCTATTGTTGTAAAAGCAAGATGGATGTGTTTTTAAAGATTGGTCAAACTTCCTAGCTGATTGTCTATGGCTTTCATGTCTATGGTGTTAGTCTAGTAATGTGCAAAATAGAATATCTCACAAAGTTACAATATTGACGCTGGTTATTTAGTAATAAGCAATTTAGAAAAGTGAGCTTTTTGAAAAATAGTTCTTTTAACTCAGTGGAAATCATCCTTCATTGTTCACTCAATAGCATTTTGCTCCTCTATACTAACAGTGAGATTTCATTTATATAAAAATTGAATTCAGTTCTATGATCCCCTTTTATTTATTTAAAAGCTGACATACCTGTAGAGCTCTGTTTCTAAGTCTAACTCACCTTGTTTGATACCAGTGACAGAACTTACTGTGAAAAAATTATTCAATTCACAACGATACTGGTTGCAGTTGTTAGGTGCCATTGATTTGGTTCTGGCTGAAAGCAACTGCTTGTATAACAGAAGGGAACACTGTCAGGTCCTGCTCCATCCTCACAGTTGTTATGCGTGAGTCTATTGTTGCTGCCCCTGTGCCAGTCCGTCTCATTGGGGGTCCTTCTCCCTTTTCATTGACCCGCCACTTTACCATGCATGATGTCCTTCTACAGAGACTGATGCTTCCTGACAATATATCCTAAGTATGAGAGACACCGTCTTGCCATCGTCACTTCCAAGGAGCAACCCAGCTGTGCTTCTTGCCAAACAGGTTTATTCTTCTGGCATTCCATAATACTGTTCAGTATTCTTTGCCAATACCATAATTCAAATGCATCGATTCTTCTCCAGTCTTTCTTAATCATTGTCCAGCTTTCACGTGCATATGAGGTGATTGAAAATACTATGGCTTGGGTCAGATGCGCTTTGGTTCTCAGAGTGACAACTTAACACTTTAGCAGCAGATTTGCCTAGTGCAATAATATATCTTATGATTTCTTGATGCTGCTCCGTAATCACAGATTGTGGATCCAAGTAAAAAATCTTTGACTAGTTCAATCTTATCTCTGTTTATCATGTTATTTATTAACCCAGTTGTGAGGATTTTTGTTTTGTTTACATTGAAAAGCAATGAAGTTACTTACAATGATTTGTTGTTGTTGCTGTCCAATCAGTTCCAACTCATGGTGACCTGGTATAAAGTTTCTCAGGCTGTAAATCTTTGTGGGAACAGAAAGCCTCATGTTTCTCCTGCAAAGCAACTGGTGGGCTCGAACTACAGACCTTGTGATTCCCAGTCCAGTGCTTATCTTACAGAGCTAATTCTTGAGTAATCCTCTGTGCTAGCCATGACATGTGCTTTTACATTATTCCACCTTAATCATCAATCTTAGCACAGTTGTCTCTATTTTCAAGTTGGAAAACCAGGATTCAAGTGGCTAAATGACTTGCCTAGAATTACAAAGCAAGACTGGGATTTCATTCCAGGTTTTACTGACCTCAAATTCTGAATTCTTGTTTTTATGGTGGTTTGAAATGCTGTTGTGGCAAATTCATACTTTTTAACTTATTAGAAAATCAAATTAAACCAATTAAGTGCAATTGTAAGTAAAAATATATTGCTATAAATCATAGAAACTTTTGGTAAACAAAAGTTTCAAAATCTGAAGCTATTGTTTCTCTACATATCTTCCATGTAGATCTATACACTTGTGAAAGCAGTGTATCTCTCTTACAGTTTCCTGAAGAATTCTGAGTTTTTCTATTTACACCTTGTCAGAATGGCTATTTTGGCATTCTCAAAGGAGTTAGATCATGCTTCTTTTAATTATTCTTTGGGTATGGGAAAGGTTTCCCAAAGAAATTCTGGTAGGATAGCCCTTGCTGCCCTTGAAGAATGAGCAGTTGCATTGTCACGATGGAAAAAACATTCCTCTGGGCAACTTTTCTGACCTCTATCTTACCAAATCTGTTTTCAATTTTCTTAAAACTTCATAATATGTTAAATATATATATATATATATATATATATATATATATATATATGATTGTCCTATTCCTTTGAAAATATCTATCAAGATCACCCCCTTGGAATAAAAATAAAAACAGTTGCCACAACTTATCTTACCTGATCTCCCAGCCTTGAATTTAACTGGCCCCTCAGAGCCCCTTGGAAGCCACTGTTTTGATTGGGATAACCCCTTGACCTCAGGGTCAGTTTGAACTGCAGGGTTGGTGGTTTAAACTCACCAGCCACTCCTCGGAAACCCTCTGCAGGCTCGCTTTGAGTTGGTACCAACTCGACAGCACATAACAACAACAACAACATTCGGAGGACAGTCTGTCAGTTGAACCGGTTGTTATTGTTAGGTGCCATCGAGTCAGTACCGACCTATAGCGACCTTATGCACAGCAGAACGAAACACTGCCCGGTCCTGGGCCAACCTCATTACTGTTGCCACGTTTGAGCCTATTGATGCTGCCACATGGCCATTCCATCTCATTGGGGGTCTTCCTCTTTTTCTCTGATCCTCCACCTTACCAAACATGATATCCTTCTCCAGCAACTGGTCCCTCCTGACAATATGTACGAAGTATGAGTCTAGTTATATTGACTTAAACTTTACTATTAGGAGAGGCCTAAACACTAAGAATACACTTGTCTTCAAATACTAATTTTCCTCCCAAGTAAAATCTCAATGTGTGTAGAAAACAAATAAAATTGCTGAAGGGGTTATAATGAACTGTTGAAATCTTCATTTGTTTGTAGAGTTTACTTGATTATTTTGTGATTTGTGACACATCTGATGCAGTTTCTACATCTCTGGTTTAGACATCAATAAATTGATTGTTTTTGTGCCTGATCTGTCTTGTCCCTCGATACTACCCCTCTGAAGAAGTGACCTGAACTTCATGGTTGGCTTGGCTGGTTTGGCAAGGAGACTTATAGAAGGCAAACTGTCGAAGTAGTGCATGTGTGGGGATGACTCATGTTCCATCCATTTGACTCTTGCCTTGCTGTCGTCCTGCTTGAGTTTGATTTTACCTTTGACCAAAATCTGGAGTCAGGCCCCAAATCTCAATATACCTGACTGCTTTTACATAAATTTATTGTGGGAACAATTACCTAGAATCCAATAATCGCAATTTTATGAACTTGAAAATGACAAATACTGTTGACACAGCCTATATTCCTTTTCTCATCCTCCAGCATCGCCTAGAAAGGTAGTCACTATTCTCAGTTTTGAGTTGGTCACTTTCTTATTGGAAAAAAAATTTAAAACTTCTTTATAATGAAGTATCCATACCTTGTGGTTGTTGCTTACTTCCGTTGAGTTGTTTCTAACTCATAGTGATCCTGTATAGGGTTTCTGAGGAGTTGCTGGTGGATTTAATTGTATTTAGAAACATAGAAATAAATCTTTTTTTGTTTTTGAGCTTTATAAAAATTTAATTGCTTTCTTTTTGTATACCTTTAAATAAACCGCTTCATTTTACTTAGTTTGGAGCATTTTAAAAATGTCATCTTACTCTCTACAGTTTTCTGTAATTTGCTTTTTTCCCCCTGTCTCAATATTGTGTTGCTTATTGTCATTCATGTTGTTGCAGTTTGCTTTGCAGTGTAGCGTTCCTTTGGATGACTGTATCTCAGTTCATTCAGTCTCCCTGTGGACATTTGGATTGTTCCCAGAGTTTTGGTGTTATAAATATTACTGTGAATATTTGTGTATATGGCTCCTGGTGTGCACAATCAGAAATTCTCCAGCCTGTCCCTACAGGTGGAATGACTGAGTCAAGGATGTGTGACTGCTCATTCAAGATAATGACAAATTTTGTCCAAAATGATTTTGCCAAATTATATTTGAATCAGTAGATTCTAATTCTTGTTCTCTTCCCTCTTTGATATCTTAATTATTTCCCTGTCAAGTTGGTAGAGTAACATTTTTGCTTTATGGTGTATATGTAATAAATAGTTGGTGCCATGTTCTTTGTGTGGCATATTAATTCTTTGTGTGGAATAGTAAAGATTGTTCCATGTTTATCTATTTTCACTAATAATTTTAATTATATTGACATTTAGAATGCTAACGTAATATTTTCTTTGTCAGAATTTTGATGCTTTCTTTGGGGAAACTCTTATCTATCATTATATGTAAAGTTGTGTGCTGTTACGTCAGTTCCAACTCATAGTGACCCTGAGTAAGGTTTCCAAGGAGTAGCTGCTGTGTTTGAACCTCTGACCTTGTGGTTAGCAGTCCAGTGCTTATCCCACACCACCACACCATGACTCCGTACATAATGTATTAATTTAAAAATATGTACTTTTAAATGTAAATTCATGTTGCTTTTTAAAACTCAGGTTCTGTTAGATAAAACATGTATTTTAGAATTAATAAAAATTTCTTTTTAATTTAAAGCACAAACTTACAAAAGAATAATCCTGTTCATAAATTAACTGAAGAGGAGCTGCTAGCATTTACATCCGTGAGTAACATCTTTTTTTTTTCATTTCATTTTTCTTTCCTTGTAAATTATCTTGCCTCTGTTTTATCTTTGCCTCTGATTACTCACATTATTGAACTGTTGCCATCTAAGGAAATTAAGGGAGAAACCTCATCATTTTAGTTTCTAAGCTGTACATATCTTACTGATTTAAACATAACCGGTTTTATTTGCACTTGCTTGAACTTGAGGACAGAAAAAAAATATTCCTTTGTTCATTGTTTTATCTCAGGACCTAGTCCGCTTTCTAGGTGTCAATAATTTCTTATTTTTTTAATTTGATGAATAAATGAAAGCGGAAATTAGAGTTTGAATCTTCACTCAATTGCTACTGTGGTATGCCAACTCATATGTTAAAACCGGGGGTTATACCTTGCAAAAATTTGGCATCAACCATTCTTCTCATAGCCCTCTCAACTCAACTGAGCTTAATAATCAATTGCAGTGGCCACACAGAACTCACATACCATACTGACATTTAGGGAGTTTACTAAGAAAGTTAACAGTTGATTATCTGGGGTCAGAAATGCTCAGGGCACAGTTGTTTCAGTTAGCTGCTGATAATTTCCCATAGGACACATCAGTTCACTTTACAGTCAAGCTTCCTGCCCAAAGCCACTCAGCTTTAACTTGATCTGTGGGCTGAGAAGTCCACTGCTCTGTCTCATGCTCTGGTTGTTGCTTCTGCAGCTGCTGCTGCTCTGCCACTCCTTCAGTGTCACAGCTTTGTGGGTCGAGGAGGTTTAATTCGTCAGGATCTCGGGATCCAAAGGACGTGTTCCTCTCCTAGCTTTCCTTTGGTTATAGTGAGATTCCCTCTCCTACTTCTGAAATGGCTCATTTTAAACACACTATAAAGTTCCAAGTTTTCACACTTACAGTGAACTCTTTTAACATCTGTAGGTGAATCATGTCAACTTGTCAGTATCTTCTCCTACTTTCTCTTATTAAGACCCATTAAGAAAAAGTCATTTGATGGGAGTTACAAAAACTAAGGATAGAAGAGACATATTAGACAATACATTACACCACAGGCCACCTCCTGACTCTTCTAGCCATTAGCCCTTTAATAGTTGGAGGATTTGCTTTCCTCATTTCCAGTCATTTTAATGGTACTCACTCGTGAAATCTGATAATTTAGCCCCTTCATGCCTTTATCATCCTCCTTTGATAGCCAATTTCTAAATTCCCCATCTCTATCAACCCAATCTTCTGAGGAGACATACTTGTTCCCTGATGTAAAGAATCTTCTGTTCTTTTTGGAACTTAAGTCATCTACATTCATAAGCAAAATCCAGTTCACAGCAAGCCATCAAAACTGCAGCAATTTACACTAGCTTTCTTCATTTGGTTTGAGGTCTGGTCAGTTCAGATCTAGCCTTCCTGGTTAGGTCAAATGGGTACCAGCTGCAAGTTTGGGAGTCCATATAATCCTTCCTCACTTCAGATCAGCTGGCCCCTTCACTTACTCTTTCAGTCCTATCCCTCAGGGTTTCTGTCAGTGCTTGTAGGCTCAGGAGTCTACACAGTTCCCTAAATTTCAGACCTGCCAGTATTTCATCTTCTCTTTCTCTCAACTCTTCTCTTCATTGCTGCATAATCCCCTATTTGCATTCATCAGGTGAACCCAGGCGGTCACCAGCGAGCATACTAGTCCTAGAATGGGATTTTCTGATGGTCACAAACTTTTCCTGCCTTGATGCATTTAACAGCAGACTGCTTGCTTGAAATTCAAAATGCCAGTTATTTTTCTTTTTGTAGGTCTTTCCTTCAAACATAAATTGTCTGTTCTCTCAGCAGTTCCTGGTAGGGCTCAGGATTCTATATAATCCCCCTACTGTACAAAGGCTGAAAACAAAAGCCTGTTTATTCTGGGAAATTCCTAACTCCTCTTTTAACATATTTAGTCAAGTATAGCAGGGTGGGGAACCTTTATTCAAAATTTATATCATCATTCTTGGGCCATACAGAATTATGAAATTAAAAATTAGCATGCTATACTTGGTCAAGCATTCAGTGAACTCACCCTAATATGACTGGAACTGGGGTTGCCTTGGCAGGACCAGGCCAAATGATTTAATGGGCATTATACGACTCTTGGGCCGGATGTTCTCCACCCCTGAAGTATAGGTTGAAGGTGGTCTTACAAGCGCTTTGTAATCAAGATAACCTTATTAATTCTTATCACAGAAGAAGGTCTGTTTTATAACTCTAGGTAGGAGAAACATTTAGTATCCATAGTGCAGTCAGATAAAACACATAATCCTTAATTCTCTTTAAAGCACTCAAGTTTAATCTTTTCTCCATCCCTGGACTGTCTCTCCATTTATGTGCATATAGCCTTGGGCCTCTGTCAGGACAGATCCAGTAGGCCCTGACTCACCATCTTGTTTGTGTGACTTTTTGCCCCAGGTCACTTCAGTAGTACCTTCACTTCTGTCACTGCAGCTGTCACTGCAGCATAACATCTCTTCATTTCTTTCAGCCATTACAAATAGCAATAAGCAAAGTAACCATATTAGAACCCAAAGTTTCATTTTCAATGTCCCTTCATTCTTTCTCTTACAAAACCCTACACTTCCTTGAGTCTGGAGCCATTGCAACGAACCCTGCCTCTGACACCAAACTGCAAATAATAGAAGCACCATCTACTCCTCTCACAGCCCTTTGCTCAACTGGGTTCCATAATCCATTGCAGTGGCCACACAGACCTCAGACATCAAACTCAAAATTATGGGGTTGATTAGGGTAGTTAACAGGTTGCAATTTGAGTCAACAATGCTCGGGACACAGTTGTTCCAGTTAGCTGCTGATAAATGCCCGTAGGACGCACTACTGCACTGTAAGCCTCAGTCTGAGAGCATGTGGCTCTAGCTTTTTGGGTTAGCAAACCTAGCTCTCCTACTTAAATGCTTGGAGGCACCTTACTCTATAAGCCAGCTTCCTGTCCAGAGTCACTCAGCTGTATTTGCTCTGTGGGCTGGGACGTTCACTGCTCTGTTTTGTGCTCTGGTTCTTGGTTCTGCTGCTTCTGCTCCTCTGCCACTTCACTAGTGTCACATATTTCTTTCCCTGGGTTGAGGAGGTTCAACGCACAGAGACCTTGGGATCTAAAGGACATGCACCACTCCTGGCTCTTCTTCTCTGATGGTTGTTGGTAGTGAGGTCCCCCATCCTGATTCTGAAATGGTTCATTTTAACCCCACTTTAGAGTTCCAATTTTTCACAGTGACAATTTATTAACACCCACAACAATCATGTCATCCTGTCAGTATCTTCCACCTTCTCTTACTCAGACCTGTTGGAAATAAGTCCTTTGATGGGAGTTACAAGGACTCAGGCCAGAAGGATATATTAAACAATTGACTACACCACATGCCTACATGACTGTGAGCAGAAAGAGAAAATCAGAGAGCTAGGAGCATAAGCAGGAGAGCATGGAATGGAGGCTGAGGAAGGATAGGGTGTTAGGAGCATGGAGGTGTTCATTATCATGCAGTGAGGAGAAATGTGGGCAAAGGAAAAAACTATTGGATGTGACAGTTAGGAGTGTGATGCTTAGTTCTAGGATCATTGATTAGAATACCTGGATCGTTACCTTGTGACAGAGAATTAAGGATGGCGAATGGGTATATGAAAATAAGTTGAACATGTTGGACAAGAAAGGCAGTGAGAAGGAAGATAGTTGAGGATATAAGATTAAAGAGTTTTCAAGGAGTGAAAAGTCTCAGAGGAAGGGGATCAGTATGTATCTTTTACTTTATGGATAAAAAGAAGATGCATACTTTGTTTAATGAATGCAAGTTGCTTTAAGATATGTCACTTTCCAAAGGCATTTTTATTATCGTAGTTAAGAATCAAATTAGAATTCTGATGTTTTCTTCCTTTGTTATTTGATAGGTAAGGCAAAATAAAGTATTTTGTGCTGATGGGAAGAAAAGCTGATGGACTTTGTACTATAATATAAACTTTGAAAATTACTGTGTTCTGTATTCTTTCTTGGAGATGACTTGATGTTAGTCTCTTGAGCCTTCTGAGTGCCTGTTTTCTTTTTCCTACTTAAGTATTGCTAGAGATCTTGTTATTTATCGTTATATTATGTATGTTTTAGGTAATAATGTGATAATGTCTGCATTTATTCATTACGTATGCCATAAGGAACTTGATAAGTAAATGTGTTAAAACATTTTAAAAGTATATTAATTTTAAAAAGTATATTATGTAACTTTTTATATAGTCCAGCTATCTATTCAATAATTATTTAAATATCAGGCATTGTGCTGGTCATTTACATTGTGCCAGTAAATAGCATCAGTTTGCATTCTTGTTGGGGAAGCACACAGTAGACAGAGCAGTAGCTGTTTAATAGAAGAGCTAAGGAGAAATGCAAAGCAGGATAAGGGAACAAGAGTGAGATGGGTTCAGTTGTTTTAGACAAGGTGGTTGGGGAAGATCTCAATGGAAGGTGATATTTGAACACAGATCTGAATGAAATGAGGGCACAGAAGGATGTGGAGGGTCCGGAATGACTAGATGATAAAGGATGCCCTGGAGACTAGAGTTTCTTGTGATGACTGAGGGAAACAGGGATGTAGGCTATGAAAGGGAATATTTCTGCTGGGTGGTGTGGCACTGTAGGGTAAGCCCTGGACTACTAACCACAAGGTCAATGGTTAAAACCCACTAACCACTCAGACTATATATGGAGTCGCTATGAGTCAGAACAGCAGTAGTAACATCTTCTTGAGGGTTAGTCTCATAAATTTTTTTTTTTTTTTTTTTGTAGCACATTTATTATCCACAGTTAATAACCTCAGGGCCAGCAGTTCAAAACTACCAGCTGCTCCGCGGGAGAAAGATGAGGCTTTCTGCTCCCGTAAAGATTTACAACATTGGAAACCCTGTACAGGGTCGCTATGAGTCGGAACTGACTCCACGGCACATAACAACAACAACATCCTGAAAATATATTAAAATGCTTT